TGTGTGTGTGTGTGTGTGTGTGTGTGTGTGTGTGTGTGTGTGTGTGTGTACTTTTAACCCAAACTTATGAGTTCAGGGAGGAAGGTGGAGTAGAATCTACTCAAGGCCCAGAGAAAATTCTAGAAAGGAAGTTGTTCTGCCTTTCTCCATTGTTCTTTAACAATTTGGGGGGTGGGGGGAGGAGTTTTTTTCTCTCACTCACAGAAGAGGGGCCCAGAGGTCAGGCCTTCACAACCCTGAAAGGTGAGGGCCAGATAGTGGCCATGCAGAGGAGGGAGGACCCCACATATAGCTCTGGAATGTCCCTTTAAGGCAAGGCAGAGAAAGCTTAGGAGTCCTTGCCATGAGCTCTGGGCAAAGAAGGGTTCCCCCTTCAGCAGCTTCAGACAGTCAAGGACAGGTGCCAGGATAGCGTTCCACCTGTCGGGGGTCTCTGGCCCTCCCCACAGACACCCCAGGGCCACTCACACTGTCCTCATGGGGCCCAGAAGCAACAACGGGAGTTGCATGGCTCTGTAGCCATGTCTCAGCCTCTCCACCAACACCTTCCTCCAGCACCACAGGGGGGCAGCCCCACACAGAGCCCAAGCCCACGGCCCCTAGTTCCACCAGCAACCACAGGTCCAGGCTGGATCCTCAAAAAAAAAAAAGCCTGTTCTCACTGCTCCCCTTCATCACCTCCCATTCTCTCCCTAATCCACCCTGACTGCATTCTGTTCCCAGGGGCCACTGAAATGACTCTTGCAAATGTCACGAACAGCTTTCATTTGGCCAAACCCCATGGTCCCTTTTCTGTCCTCATCTTCTGTGATCTTTCAACAATATTTAGCTCCGCGTCCGCTCCATCCTTCCTGAGGGGTGTCTTTCTCTGGATCTCCAGGATACCACGCTTCCTCGTGCCTTCTCCCACCTCCTGGTAGCGCCTCATCAGTCTCCTTTTCGGGGTTTCTCCTCTGCCAGACCTCGAGGCATGGGAGGGCTCTGGGCCTCTGTCCTCAGCTCTGCTCTTCTTCACCCCGACTCTTCCTGGGTCAGCTCACCCATGCTGGCAGCTTAAATACCATCCAAATGCAAATGGCTGCCCCCAATCTTACTTCTAACCCAGGCCTCTCTTCTAAGCTTCAGGCTCATGTAACCAATGGCCTAGTCAACGTCTCCATGTGGATGTCTTATAAGTATCTCAGGTTTAATGTGGCCAAAATGAACTTTGGATTCCCATCATTCCCCCAGGGTATCGTAAATACCACCACCATCTACCCAGTGGCTTAGGCCTCACTCACACCTTACAACCTGGGAAAAATGTTTGTGTCTTCTTTTTGTCTCATCCCCAGCCTCCCCTCATCACGTTTAACCTGTTAGAGGCGGAATGGGGTTACTTCTCACCTCCTCCACTGTCACCACCCTGGTCTAACCCCATCATCTCTCATCTACTTTAAGAACCAACTTCCTGTCTCCCTGCCTCCACTCTTGGCCCCGACAATCAATTCTCCACAAAGCAGAGCAACCTCTTGGAAGTATAAATCATGTCACATCCATCTTTTCACTTTAAACTCTTCCATGGCTGCAATTAGAATAAAAGCTAAAACCCTTTACCCGGGCCTTCAGGACCTCCCCGAGCTGGCGCCTGCCCACCTCCCTGACCTTGGCTCATTCTGTTCCTTGTTCCCTACACACCAACCACACTGGCTCTAGCAGGGGAATGCTCTTCCGTCAAATGTCCCAGGACTGCGTCATACACATTTAGGTCTCTGCTTAAATATCACGTCTTCCGAGAACCTCTCCCCAGATTGTCCAAAGACACTCCACCCAGTTCTTGTTCCTCTGCTTTGTTATCATTTATTTTACAGCAACTATCACTGTTGAAAATTATTTATGTGTCTGTATTATCTCTCTCATTTGCTGAAATGAAAGCTCCATGAGATCAGAGACCCTTGTCTTGCCCACTGCTGTGTTCACAGGACCTTTCCTGGCACAGAGTAGGTGCCCTCAGATGATACAGTTTTTGAGTTGATGGATTGGCTGTTAGCACAGGAGCCCGGGGGGCAGTGAGGTAGGGACAGCCGACTCACTCGATTGAAGGCATGTTGGGTGCAGACATCGGGCTGACCTCCTTGGCCTTCTGCAGTGCATGCTTCTGGTTGAAGGCCTCCTCTTCTTCCTGCTCATCCTAGACACAAAGAAGAGATGATTATGCCTGGGTCCCCCCAAAAGGAGAGGGGGCTCCCTTAGCTCTCCCCAGAGGCAGTTCTAGAGAGCAGATGGAATGAGGAAAGCAAGGGAAGCGGTTAAACAAGGCAGTATGAGGTTAGTCTGCCTTAAGGACTGCAGGTGGCCAGAAGCCAGGCCTCCTCAGCTCTGGCATGGCCAGAAGCTCTGGCCTCCTCCCTGCCCGACAGGCTGCCCAGGAGAGCCATGAAGTTGACCCAACCCCCAGCGCTCCGTGGAGCTGCCCACAGCTGTGAAGGTCAGCGGCCGGAACTGACACTTCTCAGACGTTCTGTAGTGTCTGGAAGTGATGGAGCAGGGCCCTTCCAGAAAGAGCCCCCTGAAGGAAAGCACTGAGGCTGTGCCTCCCAGCGTGCCCTCTTCCCTGTAAGGTATTTCCAGGCTTTTCGTTTTCTTTATTCTTCATGGTATAATCCTGTAAAGGGCCCCTTTGAGGGTTCACAGTGATTAAGTGGTTATTTCCTGTATCCCCTGAGAGACCCAGGCTGGCCTGAGGCTCATCAAGCTCAACGAAAGTGAACCAGGCTTCCTTCATGGATGTGTGGCTCTCCGACTGCCCAGAAGCTCCCAGAAGGAGCTGTCCTGCCAGGTCTGAGCCAGACAATGCAGACTTTTGGAGAGAGCCCCAAAGGCCAGAGGGCATTCAATGGCACTAGAGAACGATCGGACCCCCAGAGAACTTACCTTCGTCAGCTCCTGGGCATTGGCCAGGTTGTCCACGGCGATGGCCAAGAACACGTTCAACAGCGTGTCTGGGGTGGTGAGTTAAGGATGGGCAAGTAAGACGAGCAGAAGGTTTCAAGCAAGGCTGCGAGGGCACCTCCATGTCTGTCCTGATGCGGATGCTGGAAGCTACCCCAAAGAGGCACATAAGCAGCGATTACGGAGGAGGAATGGAGACGTTATGCAACTCTGTTTGAAGGAGAGTATGTCTTCCCTCCTTCCACATATCATCTCCGCACAGGACAAAGAAATACCTGAACCAAACCACCAGAGGGCCCAGATGGAGTAAGGAGGCCTTGATGTCTACTCATGGCAATACCAGATAGAGAATCACTGAACAAGACGATGGGTAGGGAGCTCAGTGGAGGAGCTCATCTCTCCTTCCTGGGAGCCTAGAGCTGAAGCCCAGCTACACCAGTCATGCTTTCATCCTTAAAGATGAAAAGAAACAAGAACCCACAGACCCAGCACTGACCAGCTCCCAATAATGGGATGCTAACGTCCCATTCTCCTCGCCCTGGACGGCTTCCGTATTTCACTTCACAAAATGTCCCAGAGCACACAGGGTCATTACGGAACCCATTTCTAGTCCACACTAAACTTGTCAAGTCCCAATTTTCCAGCTGTCTCTGAGGCCCTTATGTTCTGGAACAAAGAACTGGTTCCAGCATAGAAATCCAGGTCTGACTACCCTAGCAGTGAAAGGAAAATCCTGGTGCCATTGTGACAAACGGGCCTTCCATTTCTGTAATGTAACGCACAGCTTTCTTCTCGTGGGTTTCTCATGTTTAGTTGATCGTCTGCTCGGGTCCCTATTAGGTGTGAGGGCAGAAAACCTAAAGGAGCGTCTTTTCTCCATGAAATTACAGAAAATGCAAAACTATGGCTGCATCACGTGGCTCTCCCTTTGTCCTCAACCCCTCCTAATTCAAGGCAAGTCTCCCTCCCCATAAAAGTGTAATGATCCTGTAGAAGATTGAAGTTTATAAGGTACATTCAAATAAATGATCTCATTTACTATCACAACTAACAAAGGAGGTAAGATACTGTTATTCTCCTTTCAGATGTGGAAACCAGAAGCGCAGAGAGACTGAGTGACTTTCCCAAAGCCACACAGCTGGGAAGCAGAGTTGCTGGGATTCAAACCTCATCTTCCTTGATGTAGATCCTGTGACCAGACATGGGTTTTGGAATGAAATGGATTTGGTTTCCAGTCTCCCTTTACAATTTAGTAATTGCTTGTGTTGCATCAAGTTATTTCTTCTAAGTCTTTTTATTTAAATTAAAAAAAAATATTTTTTTTTAGCTGCTCTGTGGCCGCTCAGCTTGGGCCGTGAATCAAACCAGCGACCCTGTTGCTCAGAGCACACACTCTTAGGTGAGCTCAACGAACTGAACGACTCAGTCAACCCTCTTCTAAGTCTTATAAGGTCAGGATTAGATGAGATAGTGGCAGTAAAGCACTCAGTACATACAGGGACTCGTGAATAGCACAAATACAACCAATGTCAGATACGCTTAGGTGTGTTAGCATTAATCATAAGGTAGTAGCTGGAAGATTCTCCTATGTGGCAGGCTCTGTTCTATATTAACATGTAATTAACACATTAGTATTACAATCTGCCTGCTGTTTCAGCCCACTGTGATCTCGGTCCTCCCTTCTTTTCCTCCGCTTTTAGCTTCTCCAATGATTCAGTGTAACAGCCTCATATGTTATTATCTGTGTGTGCTATAGATTTGGGTGATATTCCATCCTCTTTATAGTTATCCTCTTTACTGCACTAGTGGACAAATTCTCTTAGTACCTGGGGCAATGTACCCCCACCTTCGCCATTCCCTTCCCCTGAAATGCTGACCCGGGAAGGTGGACCGTCCACAGAGGAGCATCTGAAAAAGGATACAGTTTCCAAACAAGGTGAGCACGATGAAATAGATAGCGGACCACATGCCAGAGCTGACCCCGCCCTGGGAGCGGATGCCGTTGTACATCACCTCATTCCAGTCCTCACCCGTCAGGATCTACACAGAGCAAACAACAGGCACGTCAGAGACCTGGGCTGGTTGAGAAAATGGGGCCAATGTAAAGGGGAGACGTCTGGACCTAGGTCTTTTCCATCTACTCCCTTGCTTGGCCATCCTGCTGAGGATGGGGAAAAAAAAAAAGGTCAATCCCACGCATAACCCTATACTTTCTTCTGATACAGGAGGGAATTCTAGGCATTGGAAACAGAAGAAGAGCATCGGAAGGAAAGATTCCAGTCCTGAATGCCCTGAGTTCCTCCCACCTCCACTTTGCCAAGCCTACAGGAGTCAGCCAGGTCAGCAGGTCTGGCCACTCCCCACCTGTCTCCAGAGCTGCCCAGGCATAGTTCCCGAGATGGCAGCACCGTGGGCAAGAGCCTCATGGGCTCCAGTCCCGGAAACCTGGGCTCTGGGTCAGTCTCGGATTTTGGCTCAATCATGTTTTACTTTAACTCCAAGAGTTTGCGGTTTCCCCCATGATTTAAAAAAAGGTGTTTCTTGGGGATGTGGGTGGAAAATATACTTCGTTAAACGGACACATGAGTAAGAAGATGCTCTGATTTCAGAAACCCATCAATGTGGTATGTCACTGTTCTTTGACTTAATATCTTCTGCTAATTCACAAATGTAGGGAGAAGGCCACTGAGGTCATCACAAGGGAGCTCTTCTATTATTGGTAAGAACACAGCTACAGAAATCCCAGGAATTATGGTGGGGATAATCGCTCAACAAGCAAATGTGCCCTGTTGCCTGGGACGAGCCTGGAGGGGAAAAGCAGGGTTCTTCTAGGACATCGTCACCTTGCAGTGTGTGCCCAGGGAACCCCAAAGGACATTTTTTAACTGTCAATTGGCCTCATACCTGGAATACAGTCATGATGGCTGCAGGGAAGGTGTCAAAGTTTGCCGAAGGAGTACCATCATTAAAGTTAAACCTGAGATGGAAATTCAAAGAGAAGAACAGAATGCAAATCTCGCACACCAAGTTTTCCCTTCCCAAGATCATGCCATTTTCATCACTTCTTTCCCCTTCTCCATAGTCCTCTATCCCCCACTTCCTCCCATGGCGTGTGACTTATAAAGATGGTATTAGTGATTATTACTGATGGACTGTGCACTTTGAAGGGCCTGGGTAACAAGATGGGGTTTGGACAGATCCTAAGTTACAGAGCCCCATGCTGTACTTTTCAGAGACAACTCCAGAGGGAAGGGTCCTCAGGATAAGCACCCTGCACCACATGAAAAGATTAAAAGCAGGGACACTGGTTCCACACCTACACTCAGTGGTCGGTTTGGGCCATGGACAAGAGCAAGCAAGGTGGTAACAGGGTGATTAAATTGGTGAGCCTGGCGCTCACAGGCTGAAGTTTTGAGGCTCCTTTGGATGGAAAGCTCGTTGGTTCTTACCTGCCTCCAAAGAGCTGCATTCCTAGGAGAGCAAAGACGACGATGAAGAGAAACAGAAGGAAGAGCAAACTGATGATCGACTTCATGGAACTCATTAAGGAGACCACCAGATTCCGCAGGGATGCCCAGTACCTACAAGACCCAGATGACATTATAGCCGTGAACACTGCAGACCAAATCGTCCTCAGGTCCAGCTGGACATCTGCTTGGTGGTCTATGAAATAAGCTGCATCGTATACTTGGAGAAAGAAGAGATGGCAGCAAGAATATGGCACGGGCTCTGGCATCATAGATGTTTTTCTGGTTTGATCTTTGGAGGAGGAGGAGCCAAAGAATGGGGATGGGGGAGTGGTTGGAAAGGGGACTGACTACGTGGCAAGGGAGAATAGGAGATGGAAGGAAATAGAATAACACAGGGAAAAGCTTACACTCTCAAAAGTGGTTGAGAAAAGAGTTCGGGTTCTGATCACTTACTTGGTTATTTTAAATATTCTTAGAAGCCGGAGAGCTCGCAAGACACTGATCCCAAAAGATGTACCAGGTCTGAAGATTGCCCAGACCACTTCAAAGATACTGCCCACGGTGACCTAAAGAGCCAAACCCAGAGGGAGGAGGAGTCAGGGGGGGAGGGGAAGGAGAGAGAAACACTCTGGTACTCAGCAATCAACAGTTCTCATGGGGCTATGGTGAAATGCAAATTCCCCCCTCCCCCCAGCCCTCCTCTAGGAGGTCTACCTTTTGGGAAGGCTGCCCAAGACAAATGAGACTCGACCATGTCTCTCTGTACCGCGCTCCACCCGCCTCTTGCTAACTTTAACTATTCACACTGTAGACTGGTTTACTGATTGCTGTTCCGTCCTCGGGGAAAACTACAATTCACCACTCCTGCACAAATCTGACAGCCATAACTGTTCTGACATTATAACACCTCGAACAGACAAAAGAGTGGTCCTCGAAGCAAAGGAAGCACATTTGAATTAATATAGGTTGCATTCCAATGTAAAAATGAAGGTCCACATTCTCCCATTCTTCTAGAATTTGGAGTTAACAGGAGTGTTTCAGTCACCTGTACATTAAATACCTTTCAGTCACTGGGCTTCCACACAGCCCAATGTGATGGCACTGCTTGGTGGCATAGAATCTGATTGCTATAGGAAGCAGCAATATCAAATTAATGACTTAATTTGCTTTTTGTTTTAATTATATACCTATTGAATGTCTACTCTAGTCTACACATTACACTAGAAGAAATAACAAAAATTAATCCTCACAGCAATGCTGAGGAATATGTATGTAAGGAAACTAAGGTTTAAATGGTCTTTCAATGGCTGTTATGCCAGAAAATTGTCCATGCCCAGAAACATATGTTCTAAGTTAAAATGCAGGTTGGCAAGTACTCAAAATCACTAGCACATAACTGAAAGGTTGGCAAAAAAAGACGACTTAGCAGAACGAGAAGTAATAGTTCAGGAACCCAAAGCTTTGTGACCTAGTACTGCTGCTAACTGGCTATGTGAACTTGCACATGAGGTCCTGCATTCACTCCTGTGTACGCGGGCAGGCTAGGTCCTGACACGTAATAAGTGCACAGGGCTCCTGAAAGCAGCAGAGGACAAAAATGCATGTGAAAACACTTGAAGACTGTCAGCAATATGCAGTTATACATCGGTATTACTGAGGAAGTGGACACCAGATGAACAAGTCTCTGTGGGGGCTTTCTAATAAGAGTGTGTGTGTGAGGGCCGGCCGAGTGGCTCAGTTGGTTAAGAGCTC